CCGGGATTTTTTTGCATTTTTCCGACCAAGCCCGAACTGCCCGACCCGAAAATTGCCCGAAAATTGGGTGTGCCCGAATTGCCCGACCCGAAGCCCGAATTTTGGAATTTTGCCCGAATTTTTCGCGCCTGCCCGACTTGCCCGACCCGCCCGAGGTGCCCGAATTACCCGAATACCCGAAAACGGCTAGGTTTTTGAATTTTTACCCGAATTCGGCCCGAAAACCCGAGTTGCCCGAACTGCCCGAACTGCCCGATTTGCCCGAAAACGGCTAGTTTTTTGAAATTCGGGTTCGGGCCCGGGCAGCCCGGATTTGACATGTCCCCCCTTGCCCGCCGCCGTCTAACCACCGGATACCGCCATCCGCCGGGATTTTTTTGCATTTTTCCGACCAAGCCCGAACTGCCCGACCCGAAAATTGCCCGAAAATTGGGTGTGCCCGAATTGCCCGACCCGAAGCCCGAATTTTTTCGGGCTCGGGCGGGCGGCCCCAAAATCTCGGGCGGGTCGGGGTCGGGCTCGGGCAAATCCTCGGGCTTTTCGGGCGGTCGCGGGCGGCCCGTCCAAAGTTTCAGCACTAGTCTCAATGGTAGAATTTGAGGCTTTAGAGTGAACACAGATTTTTTGTTTCTTTTTTTTTTTTTTAATTATTGTAAAGACGTGTGGATCATTTTTCACAAAACACATAATATGATGGATATCAATTTTTTGATGTTTTACGATTTAAATCACAACTCAAATTTTTATTATAGTATTTTGATTTATAAAATTTTAAATTTAACTTTTTTATTATAAATTTATTTTTCAATTCTAGCTCTCAATTCAAACTCTGCTTTTATTTGAAAAGTCTTCATCAAATTTTAACAGTAAAAGAAAAAAAAAAAAACACTTCTTTCATATTTAGAACTGTACCATGCTGATAAAATGTCTTATATAATATTATAATAGAACTTTTCCCTCTGCGCATGTCATTTAACTCGAGTTTTCCTCAAAGCAAAATTTGAAAAAGTATTATATACCAAAGGAAAACATAATAAGAAAATTATATGATAGGGTACGAAAAACTACCTTAATAATAAGATATTATTTTCAGCCAGCAAAATTTTAACATGTTTTGTTAATTTTACATGTTTTAAAATTATTTTTATCAAACTTAAACTTGTTTGGCATTGCATTTATTGTACTTTTATTCAACAGAAAAATAAGAAGTAATAGTTATGACTTTTTCAATAAGCGTTTAGAAATTTAAATTTTCAAAAAAGTTTAATGCGATTAAAATTGTATTTTAATTTATTAATAAACAAGAAAAATGCATAAAAGTAGAAGTTATGAATGTTGATGGATTGTTTAAATGTTAGATTGATTTCAAATTTATAAGAATTACTTTTAAGATAGTGGTTTAAAATAACTGCAGTTAAATTATTTCATATTTTTAATATCCTTTTCAACAACGAGAAACTGTTATATTTAGGGCTTGTTCATTTATATTTTTTGACTTAGGTGACTTGAGTTCAGATTTTGATTTAAGTTAAGGTATATTTGAATATGGTTTGAGTTGAGACTCTATTTTGAATTTGTCTTTGGATGTGCACATTTTGAATTATAGTTTGAATTGAGAATCTATTTGAGTTTGTGTTTGGATGAGTCAAAACTTAAATTTGTATTTGAATAGTATTTTAATAAAAACTCAATGGTGACGAAAAATTTTAATAAGATATATGGGTGGTGTTTTATTCATCTCTTCGTTGTAAACGCATAAAAAATCATTTTAATCAGAATTAAAATGAAAAAGTTATGGTGTTTTTAAAAATAAAAAAGTATTATTCATTAATATAAATTTGAGTTTAAAAATTTAAGTTAAAGAATAAATTTAAACTCAAATTTTAAACTTAAATTTAAATTTTACAAAAATATAAATTTAAATAAAAATAATTTGAGTTTAATCAACAAACTCTCTTTTCTAGTTGTGAGTAGGGCTGGCAATTTTTGACACGACACGATGAAATGACACGAAAACGACACGAGATAAATGGGTTTGGACCGCACGATTATTAATTGGGCCGTTAACGGGCTGGCACGAATAACACGAAAATAAACGGGCTAGATTCGTGCCAGCCCGTTTAACACGCTTAACTCGTTTAATTATACGGGCCATTATCATGCCGACACGGCCCGACCCGTTTATTAAGGTCATATACATATTTTTTAAGAGAAAACCCTAAGTTCTCTCTCTCATTCTCTCACACCCGCCTCACTCCTCACGCCCGCCTCAGTCCTCACCCACCGTTTCCATCTCCTCAGGGCTACATCGATTTGAGCAAGCGTAGGGTTTCGGAAGAGGATATTCAGGCATGCGAGGAGAGGTACAACAAGAGCAAGCTCGTTCACTCGATTATGCGCCATGTTGCTGAGATGATGGGCATCGACTTAGAGGTATTTAGTTTTTGAATCTTTGCTGCTATTCTATGCATAATTTGGATTTTTAGGTTTGGCTGTGTATTTGGAGATTTATGCGTGCTGACGAATTTCTCTGTTCAATAGCAAGAATAATGCATGTATAAAGTATTGCATAAGTAATTAAAGAATAGTTTATAGTATTGCATTGCGTATTTAGGTTTTAGAATGTTGAGGAATTTGGTTAATATTATTGGAGAGGAGTGTGGGATTTCCGGCTTGGTTGCTCGGAGAATTTGGAGAAAACTCAGATGGATATTGGTTTATATTGCTTTAATAGCAAGAATGTATGTGTTGAATAAGAAATTTATGGAAAGTTTATAGGATTACTTTAGGTATTTGAAGTTTTAGAATGTTGAGGAATTTGGTTAATTTTATTGGAGAGGAACGTGATGGGATTTTCGGCTTGCTCAAAGAATTATAGGGGAAATTCAGGTGGATATGGTCCTCAAATCAGCATGCATAGATTGCTAGAATGTATTTATTAGAGTAGGAATTTAAGATCACTTTGTGGGGTTTCTTTCGAAGCATGTATACATGATAAGGAAGAGAGAGTTTATTACCGCAGGATAGTTCTTATCAAACTTGTGAATTTTCTTCTTCTTTGTAACTTGTTTATGTTTAACTTCTAATAACTATAGAGGTTCTCTCCTATCCAATTGGATTTGCATTATTAGAATTCCTTGTTGTTGAATTAGTTTTATGCCTGCGTTAATGGCAATGCCACGTGATATGTGTGGGTATTAGAATGCCACGTGAAAGTTAGCATTTGCTTCAAGTTCGGTAAGTTAATGATTGATGATTTGATTGATATGAATGTGATTTGGTTAGCTAGACGAATTTCACTTACTTCTGAGGATCACGTGTAGGTTCGTGAGGCTTTACATTGAAAGACTTCAAGAATTAACGTGATTGGTTTTTCAGATCAACTTTTTAACAGTAAATATTGTAGAAATTGTTGCAACAAGTTTCTGTAAGAAGTTGAGTACAACATTTTGCACTAAAGTCATTTGACAGCTGTTTTAGAAGGTCGCTTGCTTATTTGCAGCATGCCTTTTGTATCAGTTTTTCTGAGTGTGAGATCAGGGAGTGCAATTATAATTTCATTAATTCTTCAGGAGGAGGGTATATAGTTTTTCAGGAGAGAAATTTTGTTGAGGAGGGTGTATGCATGTGTGTGTTTGATATTTGGATATTTTAATGTGTGTTAGCTATTATGCATGATTTTAACTATAAGTGATATTAAGTAGTCAATTAATATAGTTTTGAATACAATATAAAATTCCACTATTTTTGCTAGTTGCGTCATAAACGGGTCATAAACGTGTTTTTTTCGTGTCGGCCCGTCACGGCACGTTTAGTAATCGTGTTCGCGTGTCGTGTCGTGTTAACCGTGTTATTAGCGTTTCGTATTCGTGTTTGGATTTTTGACACGTTTATTAATCGTGTCGTGTTCGTGCTCACTATAATCGTGTCGTGCCGTAATCGTGTCGGCCCGAACACGACCCGCGAACACGAATTGCCAACCCTAGTTGTGAGACTTCAGAAACACATACCGCGTATAAAGACCTCTTTATGGTAGAAAGCTCCAATAATAACAGGAATTTTTTTTAAAAAAATTTTTTTTTTTTTTTTTTTTTTTTTTTTTTTTTTTTTTTTGCAAGGAAAGAAAAACACAAATAGAACTTCTACTATTAACACCGCATTGATGATAGTTCTTTTTTTTTTGCTAATCAATAATTATTTATAGTTCAACAACAACGTCTAGGATATGGGTGGCAATTCGTGTTACGTGTTGTGTTTGTATCGTGTTTTAATCATTTTTTTTAAATTTGTAGTCAATCCGAACACGACCCGTGATACGAAGTTTTTTAAAAACCGTAATACGAACACGACACGACCACTTTACGAGTTGACACGACACGACTTGAAATGACCCGTGGCATGAAATTGACCCGTGAATCCGAAATTGACACGAAAATTGTATACTTTTATTTAGTTTTTTACATATTAGAAATAACTTGAAATTCATAACACACTAAATTACAATAACATCCATTGAAATTAAGCAAATAATAGTATAAGATTTTGAGTATAACTATCATTATATCACAAGTTCATAATAAAATTTAAAATATGAAATGAAAAATATATGTATTTTTTAGTTTTTTACGAGTTTCGTATCGTATTCGGGATAGGCGGGTCCAACTCAAAATTGACCAATGTTTTTCATGTTAATTTCATGTCGATCCGATTCTAACCTGAATATCTTTTTTCTTAACCCTAACTCGTAAAATTTATGTCATTTTTGAGTCGGATCGTGACCCATATTACCAGTCCTAATCAGGATGCTTCACTTCTCTTTTTTTTTTCCCCGCATAATAATAAAATAAAAAATAATCACATATCCATATGGTAAACGACACCTTGCACGAGACTCGTCAGTTGTATATTCGTAGGGCCCACGTAAAGATAAAAAATTGAGCCTACAAAAGGGGCGTTCCCTCCCCTCTTTCCCCATCGGTCTTCACCAGTCATCACACCTTGGACTTCTCTCTCTCTTGCTTATCCCTCTCTCTCTCTTGCTCTCTTCCTCTGAGGTATTTCCTCTAGAAGCTTGAACACCAAACACGCTTATTATTATTTTTTTTTCCCCTGGTTGAGTGGGTTTTGTTCTGTTTTCCACATTATTTGGTTATTTGAGCACTAAACTAAACTCACCTTTAAATACGACATTTGACGGTTTGTTTTTTCAGTAGAAGAAAAAAAAAGAGAGAAAAAAATGGGCTCTCAGTTTCAACGTCGGACAACGCTGTGTCTGGGTGTTCTGCTCGTAATGGTCTCCGGAACAATGGGAGCTGCGCCGAAGAAGCCAGTGGATGTGCCATTTGGCAGAAACTATCTGCCCACATGGGCTTTTGATCATATTAAGTACTACAATGGAGGCTCAAATATTGACCTCGTCTTGGACAAATACACTGGTAATTATTATTCGGCTCCAATCGCAGTACTACTTTATAGTTACTCTATTATTGGTCGTTTTTTGTTAACACTATTTTTATTTTTTTGAGCTCAAAAGGTACTGGTTTCCAATCCAAAGGCTCATACTTGTTCGGCCACTTCAGTATGCAAATAAAGCTGGTCCCCGGTGACTCCGCCGGCACAGTCACTGCCTTCTACGTGAGTGTTTTTTTTCCCTAATTTGCCACAAAAAAAAAAAAAAGGAATTAAAACAAAAGAGAACAAAGAAATGATTTTGTTCTGTTTTTCTTTTGTTTTTTTTTTTTGGTGGATGTTTTGCAGCTATCTTCTCAAAACTCGGAGCATGATGAAATAGATTTCGAGTTCTTGGGGAACAGGACAGGGCAGCCCTACATTTTGCAGACAAATGTGTTTACCGGAGGAAAAGGAGACAGAGAACAGAGGATTTATCTTTGGTTTGATCCCACCAAAGCTTTCCACTCTTACTCTGTACTCTGGAACCTCTATATGATTGTGTAAGTTTCCTTCTTCTCATGCTTCTATCAATTTATCACCTTTGTTTGTTTGATTTTTTGTTTTTTTGAACTCATGGGAAGTGGATCGTTGGACCTCGTTGTAGATTTCTAGTAATCTATGATTAGCTTTTTGAGTGTTCCAATCCTTGGAGATCTTTGATTTGCTCTAATGTTTTATCTTTTTGTTGTACTAAAGAGAGAGAAAAAGACATTTTGAAAAGGAAGGTGGGGTGGTATGACTTAATGAGCATGGTTGGTGGGTATCCACCGCGTCACTTTTAGAGGTTGTTTGGTTGATGTTTGGTTGGAAGATTCGTCTCTGATTTGAATTATGATTCGTGATTCGTTACAGTATTTTTTCTTATAAAAAATACACATAAATAAAAAATAATTTTAATCACATGGTTTTAATTTATGAACCAAACATCTCCTTAATTTGTAATTTGATCTTTTTGTTAATTGATACTTATGGTTCTTTCTTTTTAATTTAGATGGGTTGAGATGTGATATTTTTTTAAAATTTAGTTTTTTTAATTTGTAATATGATATTTTTGAGAGTTTTTAATTGTAAAAATTTAAAATTTAAAATTTAATTCGGTAAAATGAATTAAGCATTAGTGATTGTTAAGTATAAAAATTTAAATTATGGCTTGAATTATGATTCATAATTTATTAAAATATCTTTTTAAAATATAAATAAATTGAAAAAATTTTAAATTATGATTATGAATTTGTGAGCTAAACGTCCACTTAATTTAACAATTTGGCTAAAAATACCATTAAGGAAAGAATGGTTCTTGTGTGGGGCATTTGATTATTGGAGCCGACAAAGCTTGGAAGCAAAATCATTGGAATAGGAGTTTCACTTTTTTTCTTTTTGAATTTGAGGCATCTTTTGTCCTGTTTATATTATTGTTTATACTAGTATATAAGCAGCCAAAAAACCATAGGATATCTTTTGGATTATATCGTAGATCATAGATCATAGATAGTGGGTGACAATTGACATCCCAGATATGAATGTGATATGACTATTTTACCCATTATATTTATATATATTTTTTTAGTTTTTTTAAATGACAAAATGAATTGATATAATAATATTTGGCATATTATTGGCATTGGGGAACGAGAGCAGATTCTTTGTGGACGATGTGCCAATCAGGGTGTTCAAGAACTGCAAAGACTTGGGGGTGAAATTCCCATTCAATCAGCCGATGAAGATATACTCGAGCCTTTGGAACGCCGACGATTGGGCCACGAGAGGTGGGCTTGAGAAGACGGACTGGTCTAAGGCCCCATTCATCGCCTCCTACAAGAGCTTCCACGTCGACGGCTGTGAATCGTCGGTCAACGCCAAGTACTGTGCAACCCAAGGCAAGAGGTGGTGGGACCAGAAGGAATTCCAAGATCTGGACGGCTATCAATGGAGGAGGCTCAGGTGGGTCCGCGAAAGATGGACCATCTACAACTACTGCACTGATCGTGTTAGATACCCCAGCATTTCCCCGGAGTGCAGGCGTGACCGTGACATCTAATTTCCAAAACCACCTCATCACATCTTCTTAATTACCATATTAATTGTTTTTTATGAGCTCTTTGGCCTCTCAACTAAAAGAAAATTTCATTTTCACCCCAAAAATCAATCAACCATTACCAAACCAACCCTTCATCATTTATTAAAGTTGAGGCCGATTCAGAGCGAGTGGTTTAATTCATGGTTTAATTCCTTTCTTGCATTGCTGTCCTGATTGCCAATATTCATTTTCTTCTTTCTTTTGATGGAGTCATTATTATTATGAAATATGCACCACTCTGCTCCTCTACAGTGGCTTTGTATTTGTCCAAAGTGTTGCTTATAATAATAATAATATATGCAGTTTTACCGTTGTTGTTTCTATTATTGATGGTGGTCATGTAATTCTCAAATCATATATTTATAAAAGTTAGTTAACCGTTTATGTATACTAATATCGTCTCTTGTGCCTTTTTATCTTTCTTAAAACTTTTTTAAAATAATAATGAATTGCCATATAAACGTTAAACTCGATCATTTAGCGGAGAATCTTCTTACAATAGACTGTTAAATTTATAGTCACATCATAACTGTGTATAGTTTATCAAACTTGATAAAAATTTACCGTTTACAATGATACATAACGATAGAATTTTTTTCCCTAACCAAGAAATGACAAAGTACTAAAGATGTGAAAAAGTTGTTAAGCTTTTTAATAAATTTATCAATTGAGGATTTGATTGGTTGACAAAGAAAAAAGACCTATTATTCTTAAATGAATAATCTTACTGCATATGTGCACTGTGCACCGCCACCAATGAATGGCTCTTCACGTGATCACGTGCTTACATCTAAATCTGTTAAAGTTCACTATTAAAGGGAAGAAAATAACCCATCTAACTTTAATTTTTATTTATTTATTGCAATTATGGAGACCACACGTCCACAAACAGTTTCTTGAAATCTACGTCCACTTTATGACTTTACTCTTTGGATGAGGAAAGAAATTATTATTGATGATAAGTTACGTGTGTGATGTTTTTTTTTTTTTTTTTTTTTTTTTTTTTCCTTAGATTTGTTTACTTAAAATCATGGGACATAAATAAATAAATTATAAAAGTATAAAAGCAGAAATTAAAATTTCAATACTCTTACGTGAATTAAATTCAATAATAATAATAATAATAATAATAATAAAAACTACTATATATTTTATGTACAGAAGATAGGCCTCTATAAAAAGAGGTAACTCCAAAATTCTCTATCATCCCAAATAGTTGAACTTTGGGGTGATAAACCTCGTGTTGTCAACAAATGATGTTAGCCTTCATGTTCTGACCCCGAATACGCTAAGCTGAAAAAGATTAAAACATCCGTTAATTTTAAAACAGAAAAATAGAGTAATTCTATTTATTGATAGTCTGGTTGAGTCAGAATTAGAGATCGGGTTAGGTCTTACGTCCCATCAACGTAGGACCATTATTCTACTAATCTTGACTCAACTAGAGATGACCGACATTTATCAAATAAAATATTTATAGGAAAGACAATGACTAAGATTATAATGGTTAAGTACAATGTTATTGTGAGGTTGCCGCCAATAGAATCCTTGGAGGAGAATTGGGATCAAGTTGCAGGCGACAAGAACAAAAATGAGGAGAGCATGCTTCCCCATCCACTCGAGCAACATTCCCACACGCCTGTATCTCCACATGTCCACCTGCCCATTTACAAAATTCAAAATCAAGCTTTTCAGTTTACAACATAATTAAGTTAATCAGTGATTTAATTCGTTATTAGGGTATGAGTTAAAGGTGGATATGTCCGAACCATCAAGTAAATAGCAACAAAGACGACGCCCGCAGCACCAGCCGAGACGCACATGTAACTAAATGTGTAGAGAGCCTTGTTCACATGCATACCTACAAATGTAACACAACCATCAATGTTTTCTTTTCGTCATATATATATATATATATATATATATATAAAACTACATGTCCTTAGTAAAGGACTGTTCTATAATATAAACTGTAATTTTAAAATATACAACAATTGTCATATAAAATAAAACAAATGTCATGATACATATCTAACTCTGTATGTTATATGTAGAACTTTGTAGAGGACCAGAGCACTTGACTATATAATTATACTCAAAATCACTTACCAAACCAATCCAAGGCAAAGCCCAACACTAAAAGAGAAGAGGACGGTATTAACCAATGAAGGATTCTATTCCTATGGTCCTGCACCACAAGATCATAATTAGAATTAAGAAGTCGCCAAATCAAGATTTTTCATTGCAATTAAAATGAAAGCAAAATTCAACATGTGACATGGATGAGTAATTTTTATATATTATCACCTTAAAATGGACAATGATGTGCCCATAGTGCAGGCCGACCAAGCAGGTAACAATGGCCATCAACGAACTACAACCGCGTTAAAATAATCAACGTCAGCAGGAGGATTAAACAAAAAAAAAAAAAAAAAAAAAAAAAAAAAAAAAAAAAAAAAAAACTGCAATTATAATGGCAGTACGCACCTTAAAATTCCTTCAGGGTCAAAAGGGGCTTGGCACCAAGAAGGAGAATCAGGAGGCAGGGGTCCATAATCTGGGGAGTTAATGCTGCATTGCTGTAAATGACACACAATAAAGCGATTCAGTTATATATAATTGTTATTATATATATATATATATATATATATAGACTAATAATCGGTTAAGGAGCCAGATAATGTTTTCATGAGTAGAGTAAAATAAAAAATGTAAAAAAGACTAGTGGGGAAATATAGTTATAACTCTATTATTTAACGAGAACACAATTATAATTTTTATTGAGTAGGGGTATAATAATAATTTTTCAAAAATTGACATGTAAAAATATTCACTATTCAAAAGAGGATACGTGCTTCCCACTTAATAGACATGATAATGATATTTTTCATGATTCTTTTTCTTTTCATCATAAACTTCATGAAATAGATATGTCAAGATTGTGTCTTATAAAAGTAAGCTTACAATTAGTTCTACTCTATTTATGTTGACAATGACAAGTATTATTTTTATAATATGTCGTGACATTGTACAAAGGAATTAACTTCTTTCTAAAAGGGAAGGAAAGTGACCTTTGTTCGTGCATAAACTGGTCTTCTATATAGGTGCTGAATACCAAATATTGTACGGTCAATCATTCCAACGGCATTACAAGCTGGTCCAGTGTCACCCCTTACTCCGCATTTAACCTTCCAAAACATGTATTTTTTAACACTCATCTAACATTTATCATGAGATTAAACAAAACTGGACCATGTATAAATGGGAGCTTACCAAAAATGTTTTAGGTTGAGAGAGAGAGGTTTCATGAATCGGAATTTGGTACTTCCAATCAGGAACGTATATGCCGTATAACAGTACAATATATACAATAGAAAGCATCGAAGCGACGGCCCTGCGAGAGAGAGAGTGAGAAGATTTTCCTATTTTTTTTTTTTTTTTTTTTTTTTTTTTTTTTTTTTTTTTTTTTTGGTCAGTTGGTAATAAAACAAAATAACACGTATTTCAATTTTCAAAGTGAAATGAGAAATTTTATTCTTACTTACCATTGAAATTTATAGTTCCTAAGCAAAGATGATCCTGAGTCAACATTAGAGTCACCCTTTAGCCAAATCTCACACAACGCTGCCACAAAATATGATATGGCAATTCTCTGAAAAATAATTAAGAAGAGTAAAAATATTAGGTAGTGAAAATACGGTCATAGTACTCTTGAATAAAACTATGAAGAAGAATACCTGTAGTATGCCCATCAATCTCATTTGAGAGATATCCACTCCAAAAGTTAGATCATTCACTCGATGGAAATAACCTCCTGAATTGGATAAGTCACAAACATTAATCCATTTTGTACACAATTTTGTCAACAACTTGTGGACATTTAGGTATAGTGGAAAAATAAAATGTACAAATGATTGAAGCAAGGGTAACATTATGAGAAGTACAAAGTAGAGCACCTTGCAGAACAAGGCCCAATACTAGAAGCTTCAGCGTTCGTAGCACTGCATTTTTTGTTGCAATGCCTTTGCATGGCAATTTCTGCACCAAAAACATATATTTTTATTTAGGTATCAAAATAAAACAAAACTAGAACTAGTCTCTAAGCAAACCACGTATTTGGGTTCCATGACATAATTATGCAAGAAAAGTTGAGGCGCTTAGTACCGAGTTAGCTTTGTAAGAGATATAATGGTCCCAAAAAGGAAGGTTTTAATGTTCAAAGCGACATTTTATCTCTTTACAAAGTCAGCTCTATACGGTACACAGTAGAATGGCTGGATAGTTATACAATCTCTAGATCTTAAAAAAAAAAAGAAAAATTAAGGTCGTGTTTGGAATTGATCCTGTTTTTATTTTTTTAACGTTTTTCGAGAAAGAAAAAAATACAATAAAGACAAAAAACTTAAATGAAAACGATTTTTTGGTTTAGTGTTTTTTTGTTTTCGTTTTCTCCTCTCTCGAGCAGAGAGAGAGAAAGAGAGACATTAATGGGTTTTTTTACACTGAAAACAATCTCTTGAAAAAACTACCAAACGCATTTTTAAAAATGGTTTCTGTCTGAATTGAAAACGTTTTCATTTTTCATTTTCATACAAAAAATAAAATCATTTTAGAACAAGTTTCAAACACACCCTAAAATTTTTTGGCATGCATATCGTCCTTGAAAAGATATAGAAGCACTTTAAAAAAAGCGGATGATGGGAAAGTAAATTGTTTGTTGCTGCAAATTGAAGAAATGAAAATGGTACCTTGTAGGCAAGTGAAAGGGAAACACCAACAATAAAGAGGAAAAATGGCATGACATAATCAGCAAGGGTTAGTCCATTCCAGGGCGAGTGGTTGATAGCAGGAAAGCTTCCACCAGCATTGTCCACCAGTATCATCAACTGTTTAGCACATGCATGAAACGAAAAGGGCTTGCGTCATATATTCAAATGCCATACATGGCTCATGTAATTAATGAAACTACTTAATAGCACCAAAACCATGTTTAATTACTTTAAAAAAAAAAACCATGTTTAATTGTAATAATGGAAGATGTCATAATTATCTCTCATGTAACCATCTCTTATGCTGATTTAACTTCTATGTCTATTTTTTAAGAAATGGAATGTGTTTATAAAAGTACAGCATTTGTGATATATATTACTGTTGTTATTATTATTGCAAAAACAAAAACATGGTACAATTTCTTAATGTACGAAAATAAATGGTAAATGTCAAGCTAGAGAAAAATACAAAAAAACTACAAAATTTACCCTAGTTCTACTTCATCTTCATTTTTTTCTTAAAAAATTTCGCTAGTAAATCATCGACGCTTTTCTAGTACCAATAACAAGCCACCAACGGTGGTGGTTGCATATTGGTAGCAATTAAGGACGCCTACCTTCTCATTCATAGCTCATGGTTCGAATTGTCGCGTCCTCACAAAAAGAGTTTCAATCTTACTCTGTTTGGTATGATGAAAAAGAGGAAGGAGACGGAAGTGGGGAGGGATTATTATGTGAAAATGATAAAATGGGTTGTTTGGTAGGAAAGAAGAGAAGAAAGAAAGGAAAATAGGGTAGATAAAAATTGTTATTGGACCCACCAATTTTTATCTCTCCAAACAATAGTTGGAAAATCAAAATTCGGACTAAAATAACTTCTTTTACCCTTATCTTAAAGCTAAAAATTGTTATTGCACTAGTAAGACTAGTTAATTTCTACTATAAATAATTGGGTGGAGACGTAATAATTAAGATAAAAAGAGTTACCCATAACAAGCTTATAATATTCATCCTAGTAATCTAGGAAATGAAACATTCACAATCACTACGGATCAATGAAAAGTGGGCTACACAGTTCACACATATATATGTACGTGTATATATATATATATATATATATATGCGTGTGTGAATCTAAAAATGCCAAGGTAAAAAGAGGTAAAAAAAGATTGAGATGTCGTCAAGCGTCAAGTGAAAAAGAGAGAGTGGATCGTTAAGCCTCTAGTGTTTGGTTACGTGGGTTATGGAGTTTTATTCTTTCTTTTCTTTTGGTTCAAGTTTACGAAAAGATTAGTATGCTTCGCATCGAATCCTGCACAGTACCGCCACCCGCACTCATCTCCAGCCTCCACATTCCACCAACTTTGTCTTTGCTTTGTCTGTTGCCCAATCAATCTAGACCACTGAACATATTATCCTCCATGTACGCGTGAAAATATCACAGCTATTTTTGTAAAAAAAAAACAGTTAATTTATTATTTAAAAAAACAAAGTATTCTTAAATTAAAACTTTTTATGTTGATGCTGATGATGATTTTTCTTAAAAAGATTTAACACTTTTAATATATCCGCTGAAATATTTTAAATTTTCTTAAAAGAAATAATTTAAGATTTAATTATTGATGATTTTATAAATATTGATATTTTTCTCCTTCTATTCATATATAATTTCCGTTGAATAAGCCAAAAGAAAATCTAGATTTTCATTAAAAAAAAAAAGAAAATCTAGATTTGAAAATTGACATTTTGAGATTACAATGTCCTGCAAAGGAAAATTTTCAAGGGGCAAAGAGACACTATAAGCAACTGTTGGGACAAAAATATTAAAAAAAAAAAAAAAAGCTGTTGGGACAAAAATCAGCAAATGATGGTTTTGCAAGTTATAAAGGTTTTTTTTTTTTTTTTTCCAATAGTTGCAGAGAAAATAAAAGGTGACCGACTAAAAGGGAATATACCTTTATTCCTCAACTGTTTATCTTATATTCCATTATATAATATATATATATATATATACACACATATATAAACTGTTTATCTTATATTCCTTTTTGGCGAATCACCTCCTCAATTAATCACGTTTTTAATTGAATTAAAAGCCACGAAAAAAAAAAAAACCGACGTTCAATTGATTCTTAAAAAAAAAAAAGCATGTTTTCTTCCCAAAAAATCTCAAAAATTTTTTTTTTGATTCAATCTGATTTTCTTTTAATTCAAAAATACTTTATTTTCGGTAAGAATATTCTTCTTCTTCAAAAAAAAAAAAAAAATCTCGATCTCTATCCATAAATAATATGGTCTTTTTATATATGACTAGCATTTGCATAAATGATATGGTTTATTTTACATCAATTTTGTTTCATTTTATATGCAGGGACTGGTGTGGGACTTGAAAAGGTTACTACCTTAATAATTATGTTAGATCGGATTTCAGTAGGTAAGGAAAAAAAAAAAGTACATTTTGGACCTTGAAAGATGCCTTAAGTTATGGGACTACTATGAATACTTCTACTCAATAAATAGTCAATACTAGCTAGAAAGAAAAAAAGAAAGAAAAAAATGAACAAGAAAAAGAAGAAGTCAATTCTCATCCTCCAATCAGCATCATCCTACGGCCCTACAAATGACATGCGTATATTATCTTTTTTTTTTTTTTTAACTATAGGAGAGTAAAAAATTCTTTTACTTAAAAAGCAACCACGTTCTTTATTGCGGATAAAACGCAGCCACGTTATTACTTAAATCTTTTTTTTTTTTCCGAGCCTTTTGTTTTAGTTGAATTACCTTTTTTGTTTTTTTTTTTGGAAGTGAATTGAAATACCTTTACACCATATTCTCAATTTAAAAAAAAAAAAAAAATAGTACCATTATTAGGTGAATTTAATATCAAAAATTAAAACTATATTATTGCTGACCAATCAACTGCTCACGTTCACACCTGTGACTGCAACCGCAAACTAATAAGCGCATGAATATGAATCGATTATGAACCCTAACCCATTCTTAGACCTAAAACAAACATCTACATATACGTATTTTACTATTTCTTTTTATGTTATATAAATTATATCTTGCAAAACTAAACATACAAAAAAAAAAAAAAGTTGAAAAGAAAAACGCAAAACAAAAACAGAGAAGAAAGGGGAATAAAGAAACGAATACCGCAACAGTGAGACCGCGAAAAACGTCGAGTGAAACAAGACGAGGTTGTCGTTGTTCTTGCTTTGCCGGGATTTGGAGACCCAATTCCAGATCACGGTGGCCTTGGCCGATCATGTTCATCGCCGCTTTTGTGGCCGTCCGGTCCGCCGTGATCACTCCTCGCCCACCACCCTCTTCGCCGCCATTCTCCTCGTGCCCTTTTACTGCCTCGTATTTCACTCCCATTCTTTACTCTTCTCTCTGCACTAGGGTCTGTGTGTGTGTCTCTCTCTCTCTATATATATAACAATCAATGTTATGTGAGTGTGTGTGTATATATATATATATATATATACATACACACATATATATATAAATTCATAATTGAAAATAATAAAAAGATGATAATTCAATTAACACGTACACTTGCTGTTTCTCCAAATCTGATCTCTGCCGCATAAAAAGATCAACACCTTGTTTTAGTATTAGAGGAAAATATGATCTTCTTCTTGTTAATGCTAATTGGGATTTCTGAAAAAGGAAAAAAGAAAAAAAGAAAACCTGTGTAGTTTGCACTTTGCTCCAATGCGGCTAGTATTGTATATTTATAGGAAAATTTGGAGAAGAGGAAAAGAGTCGTTGTTGTTTTAGAGGGGAAAAGAACAAGAAAACAGAGAACAGATGGGGAATGTCCGGTGTTTTCTATTGCCGTATTTACCCTATATATTAAACTGTCACTCTCTCTCCCTCTCTTCACACAGAGGGCAAAAAAAATAAAAAAACACTTCTGTCTCTGTAGGAGGATGGATGGTCCTATTGAGGATAATAGTATTTTAATTTTGGTTGGCAATCAAAGGAGATAGGACTCCCTAGTGCGAAGTCCTTCTGCTCCACTATTTAACCGCCTATTTATCACTGTTTTCCTTTTCTCAATAATTATAATAATAATAATTATAATTATAATGTTATTATTATTATTATTAATAAAGATAATAATAATGACAATAATAATGGTGATGATGATGGTCATGGTAATTAAAAAGTGATAATTTTTTAGGGTAAGAAAAAGAATTTTTATGAAGCGATTCTGTTTTAAATCATCAAATTTGATTAATTTTACGTATATATATATATATTTTTTTAATTTTATGTGATTTCGAGTAAATCTACAGTTTAGAAACCAACAACTACCAATAATTAAATAGACTTCAAAATTTATCTTTCTATTTGTAGTTGAATATAATTATGATTTAATATGGCTATTCAAAGCTATATCTTTCCAGTCGAATGTTTTTTTTTTTTTTTTTTTTTTTTTTTTTTTTAAATCTTATTATAAAGTTGAAAATTCTCCAAATAAATAAATTAAATGAAAAATAAAAAGTGCATAAACCCTACTTCATAACTCCTACGCCGTATTCATGTGAAGAATGCATGCGAGACGATACAACCACACCATCCACCACTATTTATTTTGTTGGCATTTTATTTTATTTTATTTATTTATTTATTTTCAGCTTTTTCTCTTGGCTATTATTCTATACATATGATGCTAAACCTAATACCACCACTTCACTTAACCACTTCCGTAGAGACGCATGCAAGCGCCTATGAGATCTATTGTTTGGCGTCTGCTAAATTGGAACAAACCAAAAACGCCAAAATTGCTCCTAATTAGGCGTTACACACTAACAAAATTGGTACCATATCAGAAAGCTATGAAACACGCCTACACCCAAAATCAAATGTAATTAAAATTTGTTATTGGAAAGGGATGTGGCAATCTTATAGATTCGGAGACCCACAACGTATTTTTTATAAAAAAAAAAAAAAAAAAAAAAAAAAAAAAAAAAAAAAAGGCAACTTGACGAATATGTATTTCCTTGTCTTTCCTTCCCCTTTTGCTCGACTTTATTGTTGGTTTTTTCTACTTTCCGAGTCCCCCTCCATTTATCTTTTAAAGTTTTGACGAGATTTTTGAGGTACGTTTTGGACGGCTTTGATTGAAAAAATATAAAAAAGATCGTTCTCTTAATACGTAGCGCTCATTTTTAACCGTTAAATCTAGTCAAAGTTATATCATATTAAAAAAATATGCATAACATAATATACAATTTTTGATACACATTTGACAATCGTTCTCTTAATACGTAGCGCTCATTTTTAACCGTTAAATCTAGTCAAAATTATATCAGATTAAAAAAATATGCATAACATAATATACAATTTTTGATACACATTTGACAAGTATAAATAAAACCCTTTGGATATTTCCTTCTTTTAGTACCTACCAGATAAATCTTCAAAAATATTTAGTATAAGATCAATATTTAAAAATATTGATTTCTGAGTAGTTATTTTATTATACGTTTTTAAAACTTAGATCTTAAGAGGCAGAGGCAGGGTAAAAGTTACTTATCAAAATCATAATCACCTTTTTTATTTCCTAAACTATCCCCGGTATTCTTGAAAAGGCGGCTCTTGGGCAAACTAGAGGGCAGCGCCTTATCATCTATTGCAGATATATCTCAGGGGCACATTAGTGCACAATTTTATTATTTATTTTCTGTTACCTTAAAAAAACAAAGGATTTGATGTTGTAATTGCTCTAATTCACGTCATCTGGCTACATTCTCTGCTGTCTTTTTATAAAATCAATAAAAGAATATAATAGTTAGTTTTTTTAACACGTTGTGAAAAAACTTCAAAGGTTAATTTTTATATATAGATTATGAAGTATAAATTCGTTCAAATTGAGAACAAATAAGTACAAATACGTTTAAAGAAAAAGAAGTACTAGTACATGTGAAAACGAATAATAGTTTACGGTGTACCAATTACACAAATGATGCTTTTTGTTTAGCATTCACTACATCTTACCATTTTAAGTGCATGATTAGCTGCTATTTCCGACCATATAGTTGACAATAATTAAAATATATGGACTCAAATCACATGTCTAATTGTTAGTATCTAATCAATCACATTATGTCACGTTATTTAATAGATCTAAACTTTAAAGCATGTAAAAAGTTAATTACAAGGAATTTAAAATGTTTTAAAAGATATGTCATAATTAAATTGTTTAGATAGAAATTAAAATTGGACAGATGATTTAAATTTGAAAAATAAGATGATATTTGTACAAAGGGGAACCTTTTGATGATAAGATGAATATGTGTGCATTTCAATAAAGTACAAGAGATATTTTGCCAAATTCAACACTAATTAGCAACTTATAAGCCGCTTTTTCCTCTCTTTGGTATACTTAATTTAAAACTCAAAACTATCCAAATGCAAACAAATACACATGTTATAGTTGATCCATTACTCCCGACCAAAGGCTCCCTTGGTGGATGCATCTTTTTATCCCTTTCCTTTTTGTGTTTTTTATGCCTTATTTTGTTCAAACTTCAAAGGTAGCGTACGTATTAGTGCCTCAACGATAGTAAATTTAGCCGAAAAGCAAAGAGAAGAAAAAGAAAGAAATATAAAACGAACAATAAAAACCATAAAAGATAAAGCCGACAAAAGCACAGGGAAAAAATGTTTTAAGTAATTCAATTACTTTGGAGCTCCAAAAGCATAATTACATGAATATATTCCAATTTTAAGTAGCTCTTCTCCTAGTGCCTAGTAGTAGTGGGTTTTCAGCAATTTTAGAGAGACAAACACTTGGATTGGAAAAGACTAGTGAGCAGCATCCCTACGCGTGTTTAGGAATTAGGTGCAAAACATTAATGTGAATTATAAGCTGTTTGAGTTGAGGCTGACTGAAATCCAACTTATAGAGAGAGATAGGAATATTAAAGACAGCAAATATCTCCCACCGAAAGGGGTGAGACTAAGATTATTAGGATTTATGAAACGTTGCACTCTATTTCATCATCACGTGTTAAATTATAACCCCTAGAACTTTTGAAAGAATTCAAATCCTACACAATTCATCAAATGAACACTTGACTAAAAAGTTTGATAACATGAATGTCACGTACCAAAATGTATAATAATTGTATCCCATAATATCACATATGTGTCAATTATGATTCTATGTACGTACGTGACAAACTACATTACTAAAATAAAAATGATAAATTAGTATTTTTCTCCCATCAATATGTCGATTTTAGTACTTTTCTAATTTTCTTTCAAACGAAATGAAAATGGCTGCAAATAATTTTACTATAATCTCTTATGATCTCACAATCAACAACAATGCTCGCTCTCTTGTGATCAAGATCGACAAAATTAGACAACTTTCCCCCCACTAGTTACTATCTATCTATCTCATTAATCTACCTGTTTCTTTTTGTGAAGTGAAGTGAAAACTACATATATGTATATCATATATCTATTTATTTAGGGGACTAATTCTCCTATTGAGATATTAAGACAAGTTAACCTGATCTCATCCCAATATTTTATATAATTTTAATCATGGTATTAGGTTCATAAAAGTACATAAATATATATATATATATATATGTATGTATGTATGGTGTCTTTTTTTTTTCTTGCGCTTCTAACCCCATAAAATAAAAAGTTAATTACAAGGAATTTAAAATGTTTTAAAAGATATGTCATAATTAAATTGTTTAGATAGAAATTAAAATTGGACAGATGATTTAAATTTGAAAAATAAGATGATATTTGTACAAAGGGGAACCTTTTGATGATAAGATGAATATGTGTGCATTTCAATAAAGTACAAGAGATATTTTGCCAAATTCAACACTAATTAGCAACTTATAAGCCGCTTTTTCCTCTCTTTGGTATACTTAATTTAAAACTCAAAACTATCCAAATGCAAACAAATACACATGTTATAGTTGATCCATTACTCCCGACCAAAGGCTCCCTTGGTGGATGCATCTTTTTATCCCTTTCCTTTTTGTGTTTTTTATGCCTTATTTTGTTCAAACTTCAAAGGTAGCGTACGTATTAGTGCCTCAACGATAGTAAATTTAGCCGAAAAGCAAAGAGAAGAAAAAGAAAGAAATATAAAACGAACAATAAAAACCATAAAAGATAAAGCCGACAAAAGCACAGGGAAAAAATGTTTTAAGTAATTCAATTACTTTGGAGCTCCAAAAGCATAATTACATGAATATATTCCAATTTTAAGTAGCTCTTCTCCTAGTGCCTAGTAGTAGTGGGTTTTCAGCAATTTTAGAGAGACAAACACTTGGATTGGAAAAGACTAGTGAGCAGCATCCCTACGCGTGTTTAGGAATTAGGTGCAAAACATTAATGTGAATTATAAGCTGTTTGAGTTGAGGCTGACTGAAATCCAACTTATAGAGAGAGATAGGAATATTAAAGACAGCAAATATCTCCCACCGAAAGGGGTGAGACTAAGATTATTAGGATTTATGAAACGTTGCACTCTATTTCATCATCACGTGTTAAATTATAACCCCTAGAACTTTTGAAAGAATTCAAATCCTACACAATTCATCAAATGAACACTTGACTAAAAAGTTTGATAACATGAATGTCACGTACCAAAATGTATAATAATTGTATCCCATAATATCACATATGTGTCAATTATGATTCTATGTACGTACGTGACAAACTACATTACTAAAATAAAAATGATAAATTAGTATTTTTCTCCCATCAATATGTCGATTTTAGTACTTTTCTAATTTTCTTTCAAACGAAATGAAAATGGCTGCAAATAATTTTACTATAATCTCTTATGATCTCACAATCAACAACAATGCTCGCTCTCTTGTGATCAAGATCGACAAAATTAGACAACTTTCCCCCCACTAGTTACTATCTATCTATCTCATTAATCTACCTGTTTCTTTTTGTGAAGTGAAGTGAAAACT